TGAGCAAAATAACCCTGGTGAGGGCACCAAAAGAAGGGGGCACCACAGAATTCCCCCCCCCCCGTCTATCATGCCCTGAACTCTCTCCCCACCACCCTGGGCTCTAGTTTTCAGTAAGTTTTTCTTTCTGCATTTTTTCATTTATACCAATTTTAAGGAAAAATGGGTTTACAAGTGTTGAAAATTTGCCTGTTTTCTATTGCCCTAGTTACAAGTGAGTAATTTGTTTACATTGCTTATCACTAATTTATTCCTTTCTAATTAGTCACAGAAAGGAAAAAATAATAATAATAATAATAATAATAATAATAATGTTAAGAAGTAAGAAAACATTAAAAGGTGGTATTACAAAAAAGTGACCAAAAAAAGAACAAGAAAAAATTAAAACTTAGTGTAGTATACCATTGTACAGTAAATAGTTGTGCACCTATATATATATTTATCTAATGCAAATATTATTGAAGTGCATATATATTTCCAATACATTTATATAACTGTCATTTTTTTCACCCCATGTATTTTGTATAAATGAGTCCCCTATTTCATTATACTTGTCCACACAAAGTCTACGTTTATAGGCAATCCGCTCATAAGTAGCAAGTGGAATCGGGTCTTCAGTCCTTTGAGTGAATGGGGCCATACATTTATCCTTCCAATGCTGCAATATCAGCCTTTTGGCCACAGTAAGGGCACGGAGAATCCATTTACGTTGTCCAGATGTCAAATTCCACGTACTCGGTACACAGTTCAAAAGAATGTTATCTTCTATAAATTTTAGCTTTTGTTGCACAATCATGTTAATATAGTCCACTACTTTCTCCTAAAAGTTAGTAAGTACAGGACATTGTAAAAGCATATGTTTTAAAGAGGCGTTGCCCTTATTACATCTCCAACAAAATGCTATTTTTGACAATCCTTTTCTATACAAACATAATGAAGTGCAGTAAATTCTGAATATTTTTTGTTGTATAAGTCGTAGTTCCAGGTCCACTGACGCTCTTGTTATAGAAGTTAAGTTACCATTGTCTAGGCCATATAGAAACTTCTAGTTCTTTATTCCACTTACCCCTTAACATCTGTCTATCAATTTGATTTATTGATAACAAATATCTATAAAAGCTAATAGTAGGTTTTTTTGTTTTGTTTTTTTAGTTCTGAAGGATTTAACAAGTTGTTCTAGTATCTCGGGTGTCTCGGAAGCTGAGAATGCTGCTGGTCCAAACAATGTTGTTAATAAATGTTGTAGCTGTAAATATTGCCATTGGGATACGTGTGATAGATATTTATCTCTTAACACATGTTAAAAATTCGTCTTTATCCTCTATCACTTGGTCCTGGTGAGCCCTGGTGAGCTCTGGCGCGGTGCGGGAAGCCCCGGCGAGTTCTAGCAGGCCCTGGTCAGCAGCTTCGTAAGAGCCCTGGCCTTCGGCTGCTGCTGCTGCTGCTGCTGCTGCTGCTGCTGCTGCTGCTGCTG